GATGCCTTCTTGCTCTATAGGCATGTTTTTGGTTGTCCTCTTTTCCAGACTTTGCTGTTTAAAGACCTCCAATACTTAATGCATTGAGAAGTCTCTTTGGTATTTGTCTCCACGTACATTCATGTTCAAGCTTCAGTACCTTGAGGATCTTTGTCACTTTCCGCATAGCAGTCTCAATGGCTCTTAGACTTTAATTTTTCGTCCTGCATAGTTGTGTGAATCATGGGTAGCTTCAGGATGGAGTACTGCAAAGATTTTTTCAAATTATGCTGCTAACGGAATTTTTCAGTGCTTTTTGGTAATTAAAAACAGTCCTGAAAAAAGTCATTTGTGTAAACAGTGTAATCGTAAAAGAACACAAGTCATATGAGGCCAAGACCTTACCAATTTAATGTGAATTGTAGTTACGTGCACCAGAAACACGTTTCCACCTGCAGTCTGAGTTTTGCTCTGCAGTCTGCATTCAGCATTGTAGTCTTGACCACCATTGCACAGAAGATTTATCAGTGCAAAGGTAAAATCTCAGCTCTGTGATAACATTGTTACATTCCTCTTTTCTTCCTGTGGTTTTCTCTCTCTCTGTCCTTTTCACTGTCCATCAAAGTAATCAAATTCAATTTCTCTGCAATTAAAATAGGTTATGTTCAAGATCCACATGAAAGGTCACTGTTCATGGCATAGGTTTCTCCCCCAGTTATCTGTAAGACTATTGAACACAGCAGATAATCGTGTTTGGGGCCACTAGCACTTTTGAAGAGTTGCTTCTAGAGGTGTTCACACTGTTACATCCAACATAATACTGACTGTTTTAAACTCCTCAGAAGGACAGTTGTGAGCCCTGAGGCTTGATTCCTGCCTGAACTATATGTATTGCTTCTCTCAGCCTTGTCCACAGCAGGTGAAGGAAAACTCTAAGAAAGAAATGGGAGCCAAGATTAGGTACTCACATTTTTATATGCCAAGGATAGTCCACTCTTATAACTGTTCAGGAAGTATTCCGCTCAGCTGTGACACCTTCTATCATCAGCCTGCCTTCATTCTTGATATTTTTCTAGTCCAGCTAAAGTAAGAAAAGCTGTGACTTGGTTTAGAGGAGAAGATCCTCAGGCTCGTGGAAAGCAGGGCACTGGCTCCTGCAAGTTGAAGTGTGAAGAGCAAATTGAAGCGTAAGCCATTTAATTTCCTTCCGAAGGGGACCACTTCATGCTGGGAGGAAATTTCTCCTCTTCCTGCAGTTTGAATGCAACCCTCTTGGGGGGGTGGAAGTGTTTTGTGGTTGGAAAGGGATTCTCCCTTGCTATCAGAATAGGTGATGAGAAGCATGGAAATTTTTTATTTTCGTGTTTTGTTTTATTCTTTCTCCCAGTTCTCAGAGCAGGCAGTAAGTGTACCTTGATAGTGCTTATTTCAGATAGTTATCCTCTTTGAGATGTGTTTTTCTGACAGACTGTGCCTAGAAGTGAATGAAGAGCAGACATACTGTAAAATGGGTTTCAGATTTCCAGTGTCTTATGCAAGAAGTACAGAACTGCCATTATTTCATCCATTCATCAGACAATTTCACACACTTTGGACAATCCTTGCGTAGAATAATGGAATGTGTTGGGCTGGAAGGGACCTTTAAAGGTCATTTAACCCAACTGTCCTTCAGTGGGCAGGGACATCTTTAACTGGATCAGGTTGCTCAGAGCCTCATCCAGCCTGACCTTCAATGTCTCCAGGAATGGGGCCTCGACCACCTCTCTGGGCAATTGTTAGTGTTATAAGCAATTTCTTCCTTATATCTAGTCTTAATTTGCCCTCTCTTATTTAAAAGCCCTTTCTCTTGGTTCTTTTTCCTTTCCTACCTCAGACATGGTGTTGCCAGCTCACCAGCTTACCTTGAATTACAGTGCAGTGTACTGCTTATGGTGTTGGCAGACCTCATGAGTTGCAAGAGCCTTAGAAAAAGCATAAATATTCCAGGTCAGTGCAAATAACACAAGCTTGCTAGCCAGTGTTAAGTTCGCCTTGAGAGTAGCTTGTACTAGACAGTTTGTTGCTTGACACTGGACTGGATTGAACAGCCTCTGTCACTAAATACCTGTGGTCACGAGTGACCATATGATGCATTATTAGTCCACGAGAGTTTAGAGAGCGTAACTGTGCTCACCCTGTCATGCAGGGAGGCACCAGACACTTTTCAGTGTCCTACAGCAGTTCTCAGATTTTGAAGATAAAATACTAGCACACACAAGATGATACTGTTGCTTTAAATTTTTGCTATTTAAATTATTTAGATTTTTAATGGTAAGTCTAACATGCTATATAAATAATATAGCACAGTTCCCTTGTTTTTTTATTGCCTTTAGAAAAGACATTCTAAAAAGTTGTTTTTTTGAAATTACAGATCAACCGTAAAATCACAAGAAGTAATTAGAAGTGTAACATACCAAAAGTAATGTTGAGTTTGTAGCATTTTTAGTACTTGCATCCATGTCCCTAGTTAGGACAGGATTTTGCTAGATTTTCCAAGCATGTACATGCTAAGTGCAGGAAACCTGGCCATTATGATGATGTTCTCAAATCTGTGAAATTCTGGGCTTTGATGGTACTTGGAGAAATATTGTTTATTACCTTCCATCCTTTAAAGCTGGCAGCATGCAAGCCATTGCTGGGATATCCCTGAACTTGATCTGCTGCCAAAAAATACCACATCTTGTGGTCTTAAATATACTGGGATGGTTTACAGCAGTTTTTCCTCAAGTCTGTCAGGGCCACGGAGACCATCCAGGTGCCTGAGAATCATAATCTCACACTTTGCACCCGAACTTCCAACCTGCTGTTACGTTCTTCATGTTTACTCTTATTAAAAGCCTTTGTGAGATTAGGTCTTTGCTATACCAGAGTGTTCTACTGATTTAACAGTCCCATATTTAAAGCTGCTATCACTACTTTGTCACATTAGAGTAGTGCATAAAGAGGCAGTTAGGATCAGAACCCCATTGAGCCAGGCTGTGGAAAAAAATGAGTAAAGGTTTACTTCTGCCCCGAAGACTTCACAGTCTAAATAGATGAGAGAGGACAGAAGAAATTGATACACACACACGACTGGGAAAAAGGGTAGATTTTTGCAAGTTATTTCCTTCATAGCATTTTTTTTTTCTCTTCCAAGCGTTCTTTTAGTCTTTTTGATGGTTAGTAGATGCCTGGATTTAGACTGAAGAATAAAATTTCTATGTTTGAGGCCATATTATCACTGTACTGATTTTAATGTCTATACAACATCAGCATCTGAGACTGCAGGAGCATAACTGCTTTACTTGTTGGCATTACACTGAAGTTGATTTCGGTGAACCATAAAAAGTCTGGCCCAGAAGGTAAAATTACACTGTATGCATGTTCCTGACATACTGCTTTGGGGATAAACATGTCTTAAATCAACTCATCGCTCACAGCTAAATTCCTTCTCCAAACGCAGTTTCCCTGTAGATAGTAATGTCCAGTGAGACTGCTTTTCTTTAAAACCATGAAGTTTTTTGAACATAATTCTATCAATAAACATATTTGAGCAGGGTAGCAAAGAATTCACATAATCCTAATACAGATTTTGTGTTTTTGTGAAAGGAAAGGAGGGGCACGCACCAACGGTTTTAATTAGGCTTCATCAATACCTCTGATTTGTTAAATGTGTTCCAAACGTTTGCATATTGTGTTTGCTCGCATGTACGTAATGAAAATTTCATTGAAACTTTATTTGGTAATTGTGCATTTGGAAAATTAAAATTGAAGTTTATGATACCCTGACTCCTACTTGCTCAGTTTGTAGCGTGTTGTTAAGATGCCATCGCTTGAGACTTTTGTTACAGTGACGTTTCTGTTGTGGCTTAATATGTTGTGCGTTCAGATGGCTCTAATTGTGGCCTTGAGGGGCTGGACTAAAGAATACCAGCTGGGTTTGCACCCAGATATTCTTGGATTAATATTTTTGGGTCTTAGATCTTGTCCTGTCTGGAGTTTAAACATAGCTCCCCAAGCTTTAAAGGGAAGGCAAGCACCATTTGAGGCTCTTAATGAGCACTTTTTTTCCTTTTTAATTTTCCTTTCTTTTTTTTTAACTCTGTAGCCAGTGAAATCCAGGCAGTTAGTTCCAAACCATTTTTATAGCCCCATATGGACAAAACACTTTAGTTTGTTCCTCAGCTTAACTCCCAGATTAATAATAGAAAGTCCTTACATCTGCATATCCATTTTTCCTAGAATATACAAAGGTGAAAAAAAAAATTTCCGTAGCTATTAAGCACGCCTTTGAAGTGTGAACAACTTTGTTGCATTTGAGACGGCAAATCATTCCTTGCGATTTGGTCGGTTTTATTTTATTTTATTTGGTTGCTCTTTGAAATAATTCCTTTTTGTTTCAGCTCTAAAACTTCAATTTTATTTCTACATGGAGACAAGAGACTTAAAACTCCCCCATAGTGGGGAATCAGTTAGGGTTTTTCTTCTGTTTAGAAACCTTTGACCCATCCCTCCCCTGTTCAGTGAATAGAAATGGCAAAGCAACTTCTGCTGACAGTGACTAAAGATCTGCTCTCCATGTAGCTCATGAAGTGAGCCTGCAGGGGAGAGGTTTTCAGGAGTCCTGCTTATGAAAAAAAATGCTTTTAAGGTTATTTCTTTGCAAAAGAGAGCCTTTCTTGTATCCCTGAGTATATATTAATTGGTTATAATCCTTAGTTTTGAGGCACATAATTATTCACCCAGCAGCACGTGATGGATTCACAGGTACAGTTATAATTTCTTTGTACTGGCAAGCAGCCTTTTCAGAGGGATAGAGAGGACCTTTTTGTGCAAAGCTTAAAGTTCTATGATTAATTGTATAGTGAAGGATTCAGATAAGTGACAAAACATATACAAGTGCTTAGAATTTTAACCAACTAGCTTTTAAGTTGTCTGCCTGGATATGTCATTACTGTAAGTGGTTTAATATCTGTTTGCATTTCTCCTTTTTTTCCCCCCAGATCATTACTAAATATGTTTATGAACTACTGCAAGAGGAATGTAAAGAGTGACTCTCCCAGTAAGTTGTTTTGGTTTTTTTTCTCCCAAAGATGGTATTTGTTTCGGTCTGTAAAAAGCATAGCATGCAGTCAAATATTCAGGTAAAAATATGGTGTGCCAAGGCTTTGTGCAGGACATTGTCTGAGGACACTGCCTGTGTCTGGAGATGTGGTTCCACCTAACTTCTCACATCTTTGATTTCTCCAGCTGAACCTTCCTTGCCAGAATTTTCGGAATAGTTGTGACAAAGTAACTGTAAATTTTTTGAAAAGTATTTGTGAATGTTTTGAGAATTCTACAGCTAGGTGTGGAGAATAAACGTGCCTTTACACGCAGAGGAATAAATTCAGACTGAGTTTTAGTAAACTACTCCAAGCCTTTTCTTAAAACAAGCTTTTCAGGAACCCTTATGGTTGGCCTAAATGATCTTAAAGGTCTTTTCCAGCCTGAACAATTCTGTGGTTCTGTGTTCATCATATAACGTGCTACTGTTCAGTGAAAATACTTGATCATCCCTTGGAAATGATGAAGCATTTGCCAAAGAACACATGTGAGGGTGTTTGTAAATACATACGGTAAGGTGATGATGTTCAGGTATCTTTATGTTCCATGCTGGTGGGCGTAGGGGAGACTGTAGTGTGTAGCACTGTCTAGGTTTTCCATCACTATCACAAAGTAAAGCTTTTGCATTACTGATATTCTCAGCCAGTCCTTCATGTTCAGTCAAGGAAAACCCGTTTGGCCGAAGGAACGAAAGGGTCCTCTGCTTCAACAAAAAGGGATATATATATATATATATATATGCTTTTAAGTAATGCAATGCTAAGGCTGATCTCTTAGCTTCAAAAAATGAACAGACTTGGAGGAAGTATTACACCACTTCCATCACCTCTGTCACACATGGAGGGACATGCAAGGCTCTGTGATTTGGGATTGTGTCCTGGGAGAAGAATGGCCCACCTGTCTCCCACTGTTGAATTAATCCATGTTAACTCGTATATACAAATTATGTATTAAGCACTCATGATACAGTTTGTCAGCAGTACATTTAAACTATTCTCAAATGTATTACTTCCAGCTTCTGCAAAGTGTCATAATTTAATTGCATTCTGGAGCAAAGTAAGAACTCACAAAATATGTGCAGCTGTTTAATTGTGAGCAGTGTGGAAAATTTGGCACAAGGTATAAGCACCGTTCCTTAGTAATGACTATTATGCGTAGGAAGCCCTCACCACAGTCAAAAATAGGTTACAAAGAGGCCTAGAAAAATGGAACAATATATGTAGAAGCTGAAAAGTAAAAGCTGTCTAAAGGCTGTGTTTAAATCACCAACATTCCCAAGTAACAACATAGAAACTCCTAGTTTAAACTAGTAAAGGGGATTAACAGAGGTAATAAGACAACTTGTAGCAGAAATAAGTTCTGCTGAAGTGAGGAGAACAGCAAAGAGTATACGTTTGGCATGTTACATATCAAATCACAGTAAGATCACTCAAAACTGAATTAGAGGGGCCTGTTAGAGATAATAATGAGAGTTGGTGAGGCTGATAGATGAGCTTCACTCAAAAGGTCAGGTCAAATAAGAAAAACTCACATGATTATTTCCAATTATTATTTGTCCAGTTTCCACGTTTGGTAATTTTTTGGGGGGTTTTGAAATGGATTAATATTCCAAGGAACTCTCAGAAATTTGACATATCAGTAGAGGAGATCTTAGGACAAATTATGTGTCATACAATAATCAAATTCCAGGAATATATGGGTTTTAAGCCAAGGGCTCTATACGAAGTCAAACATGAAGCTGCAGAACAATGAACTAGTAGGTAACTTGCGGCTGAAATCATCTGTTTTCATCAGAGAAATGCAAAAAGACTAGATACGATAGTCTTTGAAGGGCCTCCAGGAGTGATTTCTGTGTATCAAGAGGAAATAATATACTGAGGGGGGTGGAAATCAGTGCAGGTTTATTTTTAAAAAACTTACTGGAATTTAGACCTACTAGACTTCTTGGCTAGAAGGAGTCAGAGATCACAAGAAAAAGAAAGATCTCCTCAGTGAAGCAGTATGTGGATTTGCGACAAGCTGTCAACAAGCTTACCAAGTGCTTGTAAACAGCATAGGGAGAGAGTTCCCTTATGAGTTACTAATTGGTAAAAAGGTGTTCATATTTTACAGATGAAGTAATTTGTTACTGGTGCAGTGCTATTAAGGCCTGCAGTGACATAGTTGTAAAAAAAAACAAAAAAGGAATTAAGAGAAGCTAAAAAATTTGACTGTTTGGGGTTTTTTTTGATAAAGTTACTTAGAATACTTAAATCTAAAGCTGAGTTAGGGAATTATTTCATGGCGCTGAATGACTGGGTGATAAAGTGACATGAGATTCAATTCTGGTAAATGTGAAATTATGGGGAAAATAACTCACTCTGTAAATACAATGGTGGCCTCTAAATGAGCTATTACAACTCAGGAAAGAGCTTGGAGTGATTGTGAACAGTTCTCTGAGAGCATCAGTTAGTGCTCAATGGCAGTCAAAAACCCTTAAAGCAAATAGGATGTTAGGAATTATGAGGTGTTGAGAACGAAACAGAAAAACATTGTCATCCCACTCATTATGTGGGCCCTCATCTTGAACACTGCATGGAGTCTGGACACCGTATCAAAAACGATATGAAGAATTAAAAAAAAAATACAGAGGAGGGTTACAAAGATGATCACAGGCTTGAAATGCTTTTCAGACAAAGAAAGATTAGACAAAGATTCTTCAGCTTGGAAAATAGATGACTGAGGAAGGGATATGACAAATCTATAAGATCATGAAAGGTGTAGAGAAGATGAATAGGGAATGGTTTTTTGCTTTTTTTTTCATAATAGAGAGGCTAAGGGGCATCAAGTTTAAATTATCAGGCAGGAGATCTCTACTGAAAGAGAGGCAGTGCTATTTCATATACGTTCCAATTATATTGCGGAACTCATTGCCACAGAATGGTATCAGGGAGAGAGGTAAAAATGCATTCAGAAAAAACATTTGGCAGTGCTAAGGTGGGATAGATGCCCTGGGCTTGTCCAATTATAAACTCTGGCTCGGGAGGCTCCAAAGTTACTGGCTGTGAAAACCAGGGAAGAATCATGCTATATCCACTCTGTTCTCCTACCGTTTCCCCTCAGCAATCTGCCTGTTGTCATAAACAGGACCCCAGGACCTTCATCTAATAAGACGGCTCTTCTTATGAGTATGATCTTGTTGCATGAACATTTTAGAGGTGAATACGGAAATATGTTTTATTCTGAACTTCGTTACAGGTGGTCAGAAAGTTAGTGTATTGACCTTCCTTTTTCAGTCAGCTGATAATGAAGTAGGCAAGTGTAACAATGTTTGAACATAGGAAGTGTGTTTCAGGACTGTATTAATTGGAGTGCTATTTTAAATTATTTTTTTAAGCGTGATTTTAGTGTATGGAAATGCTGCACTACGAAGGTTTGGGATGACAGCATTTCATATTCTCTCATCTTAATTTCAACCACTTGTGTTTTCTTTATTTTGCGTTGTCAGGTGGCAGCTTCAGTTCTGGGCTCAGTTGTTCGTAAATTTCTTTTCAGATGTGAAAATAAAAGTGGTGTAGAAATCAAGGAAGGTCTCCCATTATTTTATTATGAGAGCATCTCTGAAAAACATAAATCTAAACATTTTTTCCTGCACAGGGTGGCTGACATGCGTATTGCATTGTTACTGTAAAGTACTGCAGTTCTCTTAATGTTCAACATAAAATACTAGACTTGAAAATTTAAACGAAGAGACTCATATTCGGAGAGAAGCCATTCAATTATTTCTTTTGAATTTCTCATTTTGTGCTCCATTGAAGATTATATTACGAATAAAAGAAGACTGCAGGTTTTTTTATCCAGATGAAGTCTTTGTGTTACTCTATTTTTAATGGCATAATCAGTATTTGATCTTTGATATTCTTTAGCTGTTGAGGGTGCTTCCGAATTAAATGTATCTTTAGCAGCTCCTGGGAAGGCTTGAGATGGAAGTTTAAGTAATTACTAACATGTTTTATTGACAATGGTGCTGAAAGGTCTCAGTTTGAAGAATCTTCTAGCTTATCAATGCTTTGCTTTTTCACTTCAATAGGTAGAACTTCATTCAGTAGTTCTCTTGATCTACTCGACTCGAAGAACTATTTTTCTCTGAGAAGCAGTAGTCTCTTATCTCCACTGCACATCCCTTTTGACTCTTTTGTTGTCTAAGACCAGTCAATATTTGTTTTGTAAAAATTCTAATGACTTTGTGCTTGTTACGTTAGTTGCAGTAATGACCAAGTGCTAACCAGCCATTTATAATATTGATCAGTACTTTTCATTTTTTACAGTTTTGAGTGAAAAATTATAGATCAGGATATGCAATATTTTGAAGACTGTAACATAAGTGAGTTTGTGAGATTTTTGTAGAACCAGGTAACAGAAGATTTTCTTGTGAAGCAAATGAGCAGTTTTATCTCTCCACCAGCTGCTCACAATCCTCCCAGTCTTTCTGAGTCTTTTCGGATTCAATGCCATTTATTTGCCATGTTCTTCCCTGCAGTCACAAGTTGCACCTGTTTCACTTGTTTGTAGTCTCTAGGCTTATAGTTTCTATTTTGTTTCTTGAATGGAATCTAACATTCAATCTTAAAACTCAAAAAATTCCAATGTACAAAATAAAAGACCCCTAGAGTTAAGTCAAGTCTTGTGCATCTTGAGTTGGTGATGGCTAAGAACTGAAAATCAAGTCAATGTTGATGTGGTACCCTGAATGTCAGTAGGATTTCAGGTATAGTTTGATCTTACCATATATATTGATAGCAACTGTGCAAAATGCTAACTGTGCTGCTGAAATACTGTATAGGCTCATACTGCTGTATTGGGTGATAGTTCTTTTGAGACAGAACCAATATAGAGAAAATAATTTACTGTTTGAAAACCTTATGAATGTCATAATGTATGTAGAGTACATAACTCAGAGAATTCACCATAACTGCATGCATTCATAAACCTTAAGATATAGTTGTACATAATAAATCCAAGAAAAGGAAAATTAAACTTTAACCAGAACTTTTAAACAGTAAATCATCATCAGAATTTAGATTGGTTTGAGATTCCTAGCTACAGATTATTGGAAGATTGTTGTTGCATGTGAGTAACAATGTTGAATCAAATTGTTAAATTACACAAATTAAAGTTCAGCATTTTACTGAATTCATTTGATTTATGTTTAAATAAAGACTCAGAAATAAGTGTTCATGAGCAGGTCCAGAAGAGAAAGAGGTTAATAAATATAAATTATTTTATGCAGACTTGGTGTGTCTAGCACTAAATGGTATTCTGTGTTGATTTGTCAATAAAGTAAGGTTGTGCACAGGAGTGACCTTTGTGTGCATTCTTCAGTGAAAGCTTGATCTAATGAATTACTGCAGTCTGAAGATAAATTAGCTTGAAGAAAAGTTCCAAATGTGATGGATTTTGAGGGGAAGAATGAAAAAATATTTTTTATGATCTCAGTAGATACTTTTAACATTTTTAAATTAATGTATTTGCAGAAGTGTGAGCTGGTTACATCTTGTAACTTATGATTACTAATAATTACTAAAGAAAGATTTAGTTTACAAACACTAAAACATACAGCTAAGTTGTGTCATTGTCTGAAATGTAAATTCACAGTGTTTTTTCTTAAGTATTCAGTTCACACGTGAAGTCAATTACCTAGTAATGCTTGAGATTTAGTGTTGCCTGATTTTTACCTAAACCATGTTAAATTTTAAGGTACCAGTGCTGCTGCTGAAGAAGCGGCGACGTGATCTGATTGTAGCCCCAGTATGGTACCTGTTGTACCTACATATTCTAAAGTCCTGATAAAACAACATATTTTTTTGCCATATTTTCTGTTTTCACACAAGGTGTGGGAGGAGGTGAGTAGATTTTCTGGTGCAAGGTGAGGCACGTGAGACGTGACCTCATTATGGAGCAGGGTCTCAGGTCGTCCAGCAGTGCAGCAGATGCTCAAGAGGTACATGACTGTCCGACTAGCCTCATTGACTTAATTTCCAAAAAAAATAGTATTTGGTAGGATGGTTTTAAAAAAAGTCTGGCAGTGGAAGCAGAATTAGTTTTTCCTGAGGTGAAGGTAATTAAGAACACATACCCACGTATGGGAGAAAAGCTGACATAATCCAGGTAGCCATTCCTCCCATCTCAGTGTAGGCAGGTATCCTGTGGGAATAGTAGGATGAGGAGATTTGCCTGTTGTGTTCTTCTTTCTCTACGTATTTGCATGGTAGAAAGGGAAGAAGGAGTAAATGGGATGTTTTTTTCTGCCCCAATGTTTGACACTAGCACAGTTATTTTGCCTTGAGCTTGGCTTTCTGAACCAAGTGTGGACCTGCAATCTAAAACTTTGGTTTTGATTGAACAAAAAGTGTTACTTTGCCCTCTAAAGACAAAACTTTGGCATTCAGTAATGGTTTGCTGAATATTAATACGCTGCTCATTGGTCGATTCCTACAGCAAAGCAGCTAAGCATTGACGCAGGTGCAGGACTCTTAATGAATCCAAACTGAATTTCTGTAATTTTTTAGGATTGTACTATTAAATGTGTAATAAACAAATTAACAACACTAGTGTCTACGTGACTTACTAGGCATTATGTTGAGGTGACTGAGATGGAACTCTCCAGGACTTTTTTCATTTTATGTAAAAATTTTATTATTGCTTCAGGCATATTGGAGGTGACAAATTACTTGATTTTGGGGGGTTTTTATCCTCACAGACTGTTCTTTTGTGGACTTTCTTTTTTGCTGATAAACTTTCTATAAACGATACTTCAAAGCTTTAGCATACTTTTTACCCCTTTTTTGATTTAAATCTCACTTGTCTTACTGTTCTAAACTGTTGTATGTTTCTATATTTTGAAGTTATGTTACATGGATATTAACTTTTGCTTTATTTTGGTACTTGGTGCATATGCATACAAATAGTTGTTAGATGATGAAAGCTTTTATATCAAATTGGTGGCTAACTTTTTAACTACAGATGTTTAAAAAAGAAAAAAAAAGGTTACTGATGCATAAAAGCGCATGTTGTCTGTAATTGCAGGTTGATGCGACGGACAGCGAACCAAAGAGCTTTATTTTTATGAGCGAAGATGCATTAACAAACCCTCACAAGCTTTTAGTCCTAATCCATGGTAAGGGTGTTGTCAGAGCAGGTCAATGGGCTAGAAGACTTATAATTAATGAAGATCTGGACAGTGGCACGCAGATACCATATATAAACCGAGCTGTCGAGGTAAGTGAAAGTGTATGTATATATATATACGGTTGTGAGTGCATGGAGGGCTCTAAATCTGTGATGTTTTAATTTGTTAATCAGTGTTCATTGTTTCTCTATATGGTCATTTTATTTAGGATGGGAGTACTTGCTTTTTTCTTTTTTTTTTCCCAAACTTTTTTTCTAGTGGTACCAAGTTTCTTTCTTACAGTAAAGAAAAAAAAAGAAATTTTAGTTGTGTGTCATGTTGTTGTGTCGGCACTGCCATGTAGTTTAATATGGCAGCTAACGTGACAAGAACCCTTAGCAGGCAATGAGATGCAATAGAAGGCACTACAGAAATTTGCTATGATTTGAAGTGTTTTCTTTTACATTTCATTAAATTTGTACGTATTCTCACTCAACGTCTGTTGTAATCTCATGATAACATGAGCTTTCATGATAACAGCAGGCTTTTTTGCTAGGCTTGTACTGAATTTATTAGAGGCACAGTCTTTTTCAGTTTTGCACTGAATACTGATTCATTCTGATTCACCTATCAATACTTGACAGTAAAAAACATTTACATTTTGTGGACACGATTCTGTTGCATGCACATCTCCATGTGAGACAATGCACAATTTGTGTAATGTTTTTAACACTGGAACTTTGCAGGTGTCATTAATCTCTTGCTCTAAATGAAGCTTCCTGTTGTAAACATTAGAAAAAACAATGTAAGACTATCATATTTATCGAGTTAAGCTAATGTTCTTCTGTAAATATCAGTGTTGTCATTGTGATTGTTACACGTTTTGCTAAATGCAGCTTAATTTTTTGCACTTGTCTTTAAAAAGTATTCAGTATAGAAAATGGTTCTCTTCAAACACTTTTTCTCTTTTTTAATGAAACAAAGAAAGAAAACATATTAAATCATTAACCCATTAAGTTATGTTTGGTTCATATAACCCACTAACAAAGCACCAGACTATACTTCGTATGAGGAGAAACGTAGTCTTGTGAAGGTGATGACTGCCTTCGTCTCAGATCAAGTTTTGTTCATTGTAAATTAAAACTCAGAGGTAGACTAGAAATAACTTAGGATTATGGAATGTACTATAGGTGTAAGGCAGGTCTGGTGTGGGAGGTTAATTTCTAGAGTGAAAGTTCCAGAATCATTCCCAAGAAACCCAAAGAGCTGTAGCTACTTAAATTTTTGTACCAGTCCTTACAAGCCCATATTTTCCTTCTTTCCTAGAGATGCTGCTGTCTTGGCTAACATGAGGGACTGAGTATTTAAAACTAGGATACTATCCCTAAATTCACAGATAATTCTCAAGAGAGTATTTCTAGCAAAGGAGAGTTATTTTCCCCTTTTTTTTTATTTTTATTTATGCCCATGTGACACAGATCAGGCCTCTGTTCCCTCAGGTGGTTTCTATCCTTAAAACCAGATTTTGTATTTCTGTATTTTGAATGCTTCTTTAAAAAACACACGGGAGAAAACTCAAAGATTTTTATGAGAAAATATCTTTTAAAAAATCTAATCATCCTCTCACACTGACATATCAGACTCATCTTTTGACTTCCTTGTTTCTTAGCATGGTTTTTACATTTGTAGTTCTCTTTAGCTGAATAATTCCAGCTACTGTAAAACCCACTCTCTCTTTTTGTGATGCTTATAGTTCTGCGGAGTGTACATCATGTTTAGAACACGTACTATTTGCAATGGTTTTTTTCAGGCAAAATGAAGATTAGATCATATTCAGGTGTATTATATTAAAAATGTTGCTATTTTTTGTATCCTGCAATCACTGTAGTGGGAATTGGATGAATATCTGGTTAGGTAAGGCAATATTTTATTGAAGCCAAACCCCACTGAAGGTATTTGGAATCATCATGTTATGACTAAAAAGCGAATACAGATAGTTACATGCAGATACCACTTCATATATGGATCATATAATTTACTCTTCTGAATGCAGAAAATTATGGTAGACTGAGTGTGAAGACTCCAGTTTTAGTTAATAATAATAAAAATTGCATCCATTTCTGGGTTTTTTTTTTTGGTTTTCAGTCCTCTGGACAATTTAGGCAATTCTCTCTCTTATGAAATGAAAATGACTGGCCTGTATATGTCCTGAATGAAAATTGTGAAATCCTCATGCAGCGTTGCTAGTTTGAAGCAAGGAATTATTCTTCCTTGATCTTCCAGTGTTTCTTCTAAGAAGAGGTGTCATCCTTGAATGAAACCAGCAGACTTTATCAAACCATGAGATTGCAGTGCTGGTGACAGACCATGGGTAGTTTTTCTAATAAACCATGTGAGTTTGAAGTGGGTAATAGTACCTAGGATTTGAAAATTCCACCGATCTGTGGTGAGTGTGAAACATATGCAGTTAGCTTCAAACAGTAGCTGGAGACTAAGTTTTCCTTTTAAAAGGAAAAATGAAAAAAATTGCAAAAGCAGTGCTTAAGTGACTTTTGTGCAGAAACTAGTTCCCAAGTATCACCTCTGCTTTCCTTAAAACAATACCAAGCAGACAGAAAAAACAAAACCAACCTCTAGGTAGTTCAAAACCATATCTTATTCTCTGCTGCTTTTCTCTGTGGAGAGTGATACGAATACCACGAGCATGTTTCAGTTAATTTTTTTGAAAAACTGGGAAACAAGGGGGCAAAAGGTGGAGTTGTCAGTATGAACTGGTACTATTCTCCTAACCAAGAAGTTAAGGGAAGAAAGGAAGATGTTTGTCTCTGATATAGTGCTTTTGAGAAGAAAAAAACCCCCAAGTTTCTCTTAAAACACATATGGAATAAGAGAACAATGTAAAGCCTTAAAAATTTTCATACTTCTACTGTCTTGGTGGTGATACACACTGGAGAGCAAAGATCCAAGGAGAAATATCCTGGTGGGAATTTAAGTAGCTAAAAATGTGAGTTTTCTCTTCATTTGGATTGTTCCTATAGGTAATGCTTCTCCTTCCATCTTTTATATCAAACTCGGTTGTGTAGATTCAATCTTTTGTGTAATAGGTGTCGGGATAGTTGATAAGGTTTTATGTGAAGCGGTGAGATTAAAGCGTTAATTCAGAAATTCAGAGTTGATAGTGTAAAAGATTTTGAAATATGAAAGAGAACAAACAAGCAACTAGATACAGAACAGATTGCAGGAAAAGGAGGAGGGAGAAAAGTGTATACAATGTGAGAGACAGATAAGTGTAAATACGTTAAAACACGGTAGGAAAAGACCTGGTTTAGAAAAACAAATATGAAAAAGGCAAATGTGATAATATAAAGCAGTAAGACTATAAGAAAAGCTTCATTGAAGAAAAACAGATACATATTATGAATATATTTAAAACAGAAAAGAAAGCAATTTCCTCTGAATATGATATGAAGTAAATACTGCATAGGTTTGTTATTTTGTTCAAATGGAACTTTCGTTCTGAAAAATTCTGCAGTGGGAAATACTGATTTTTGACAGAAGCAGTCGTCTGACATGAGAGAGACTGAAGTTCAAGTCCCTCCATTGCAGGTGAGGGGCTGTTCCCCTTACAATGGTAATAATGCATTGAAGCTATTCCGCTTTCTATAAACAAATAAATTTAGATTAGATAAATAAATAACCATGACATAGCAGAGGAATTTTAATCTGTCTCTTCTGCATTTTGCTTAAATGTCTTACCGACTATCCACAGAGTCAGGGTCTTCTCAGGTCAGTAAATATTTGGTCATAAATACAGTGTCTGAGAGCAGTTATTTTTTTAGTCACGTATGCAATCACAGGAGAAGCACCAGGAGGACACATTGAAACACGACAGTAAATTCTTTAATTCAGTGATAAGAGCATTTACTTGGGGTGTCAAGAATTAAGGATTTACATTCCTGGTTTTGTTTAGGTGGTTTAGCAGCTCCTGTGTTCCCTTTGAGGGCCTTGGTCACCAATTTCTTGAGAAGGAGGAGGAGGCTGTGAGGAGATACGTGTCTCTTGTTGTTGACTGACAACATAGGTGGTACTCTCAAGATTCGGTTGGGAGATGTATACAAGTGCTAAAGGGGACAAGCAAGAAGGGGTGCAGAAGTTGGCTACTTCTCCATGCAATGGTTTTCCTTCTGTAGCAGTTGGAGAAGCAAATTCTGTGCTTTCAAGTCTACAGAGTGTTAGGCAAGGAGAAGCTGAAGTTGATCTTCTTATGGATGAAGTTTGTCCCTCAGGAAAGCTGTAGCTCAGCTTACCTAAGTTTCGACATTCAGAAGAATTCTGGGATACTCTTACCTTTGATACTTGTTCTCTAGGGAGTAAAAAGGACATGAGCTTACTGCATGAGTACAAAGAAACTGTTGTTGTATGTTTTCTGGTTTTGGAAAATTCAATGTTTTCGTTACCTAAGATAGCTGTGATCCCAAGGATGCTAGTGAAATTCAACCACAGCAACTGTCAGTTATTTGTTTGGGGTTTTTTTATAAAAAGCATGCAATAAGGTGTCATTAGTTTTGTAACTCAGGTGAATGGAACAAACTCATTTGGTGTAACTGTAGTAAATTTACCAGGCATAACTTTTATATGATTTAATAACCTTCCTGGTTAGTAACTGGTATGATGGCATATTTTCATCTTTCCATGTTGTAAAAATCAGTAAGTTTCAAAAGGGGTTATTCATACATTATTGTCAAGAAATTATGCTTTGTTTAATCTGCTGAAAGTCTTCTATATCTCACTTTTAAACATAGAATATCTTGTTAGACAGCATGCTCTTTGTTCTAGTGGTCATATTTTACGAACCAAAGTTTTAAAATTTTGTCTCACAGTTTATAGAAGCTTAGCATAATCTCAATAAGATGAGCAAGTGGCACTTTTTGGAAAAAAAGAAAAGAGCTGACAATTCACTAAGAGTACAGTTCTTTTGCAGAATATTAGTACTTATATATCTTTAATGTCTCTTAAGTCATCATCATGGTTAGGCTTCACGAACGAAGATATGGGAAGGGCTCTACCCACACTTGCTACCAGCGCGCTGATGGCTAAAAAGGCCGATGTG